TGACTGATAGAGGAGTAAGGCAGGGATGCGTTCTCTCTCCCCTTATTTGGTCATGCTTCACGTGCTATGTGGCGAAACGACTTCCATCTGCTCTATCCAGTGATGACTTGCAAATGTATGCCGACGATTTTCTCCAGTGCACGCTGTTCTCTGATTTGCAGTCTTTCCACAAGGCCCTGCGAGCTATATCGGTCCTTTTCGAGCACTTGCGCGGATTTGGTCTGAAGCTCAACATGGAGAAAACGGCTCTTCTCATTCGAATGGCTCATCCTACAGGACAACAGGAACTACGCAAACATTTGGTGCACAATCACAAAGGTTCCTTCCTGAGCGCTGTTCGATTTTGAGGTCCAAACAATCAAGCATCGACTACAGGTGGGCAAGACACAGTTCGCCAGACTGAAAAAGGTTCTCACCTCTAGACAATGCCTTCCTCTGGACAGAAGAGTCAGGATATGGAGTGCCTGTGTTTGGACCTCCCTCAGCTATGGCATCGCATGCTGTGGTGGCACGGGTTTCGCCCTTATGAGCTTATCTGAGCTTGTGGCTACACAACTTCGCTCGATTGCCAGAACGCCTAGACACATCACGCATGAAACGAACCATGATCTGAGGCAGCGTTTAGGTCTTCAGGATCCACTGCAGATGGTGCTTGCCAGAAGTGTAGGCCTTATGGCTAGACTTCGTGATCAGTTGCCTCACCTCGCCCACAATGATGTCATGCATTGCCCGATATACTTGGATCAGGCTGTTACTGCTCATGATATGATCTTGACCGCCGCGAAGTATCAACCAAGGCTCGTCCGAATTGACAAACAAGTTGGCGTACCATGTCCTGAGTGTGGAATCTACTTCGTTGACGATAGTGCTGTCAAGAAACATATGGCGAGGAAGCATCCGGATGTACCAAATGAGGTGCCTCTCAATGTTGCCCAGTTGAATCGAGCTGATTTCTCCGTTGATGGTATGCCTGTCTGCAGGGGCTGCGGTATCAACTTTTTTGGATGGCAGAATCTTCTGAGGCATGTACAGCATCGACGCTGCCATGGGCTTCGCAAAATGTTTGATGCACATTCTCAAGCCCACACCAATGCACATGCCAATGCAGATCACAATGCCACTGAGTCGCTTCCTTTGATCAGACGTGTGAACTTGGTGCGCGACTGGATTGCAGGGGGTTCACATCGGCTTCTGACTGATTTGCGTTCCGATTCTACACTTAGACAGGAGTTGATGGCACATTGCTGTATTTGCAGACAGTGGATCGGTGATCCCAGGCATCTCAAACAACACATCCAGAAGTTTCATACTGAGCTGTTCCTACCGCTGCAAGATATAGTAGCCGAAGATAGTGCTGCCCTGGCGCCTACCCTCTCTGCTGCTGTGACCTGCCCTTACTGTGATCGAAGTGCCACAACAAAAACAAAGAGACATGCTGGCATGTGCACGGTGATCTTTCAGGTTGCATTGACGTGTCGTACATATGACGGCCACCGCAGAGGAGATCGCTTCTCTCTTCGGGGGCTCTCTCCCCCGTCACCGCAGAGGAGATCGCTTCTCTCTTCGGGGGCTCTCTCCCGGCGTTCAAGGCGCACATGGAGAAGCGCCAGAAAGAGCTGGGGAAGGGACAGACGGAATCTCAGCCTCCAACCAAGTGGACCAAGACGGAAGCAAAAGGTCAGGGCAATCAGAGACAGGGCAAGGGACACGGCAAAAAGGGCTCACAGCGTGGTTCCGGAAGCAAGCCAAAGCAGAGCAAACCACAGCTGCAGTACTTCGAATGCTGATTCAGCTGGCCTTGAGACACGAGGACAACATCAATCTTCTGCGTCTCGACCGATCCTTCATTCTGATAATGAAGACATCAGGGCAGGAAAGCCTTCTTCCAGCTCTGTACGATGTCTCAGCTCAGTGGAAGGATGCAAAAGAGCTGGGGCAGACAGAGTGCTCGCTTCGCATTGCTCTTTTCAAGTGCCTGATCTTGGAGATCAAGTCCAGGGCCACCCTGGTCGTGGAGGACGAGACCAAAATTGCACAAGCGATCAAGATGGGCTGGATCAAGAAGGAGGAGGGGAAGGAGCCCGCCTGGACATCCCTGGTTTACGACAAGAACACAAAGCTCGAGATCCCGGCTCCGGACCTGGGCCCACTTCTGCACAGCGACTTGATACAACAGCTGGACCGCCTACTGGAGGGGATGGACAATCACACATTGCAACGTTTCCACGCGACCCGCCCTCTGGCGACGGAGTATCAGGGGGAGGTGGTGGCCTTTCTTCTGGAGATTTCCAATCGGGGCAATCCTTGCCAACGCATGCACCATGCACTGGTCACGCTTTGCCAATCGTCGGCAATGCACTTGGTGGGGGCACGTCTGAAGCGCGAGACACAGAAGCGAGCACCACTGGCACAGAAGCTGATGGAGATGCTGCAGTCCAAGTACTCAACCTAGCTCTTGCAAATGATGGCAACGTGTGTTATCAAAATGCCACTGTGATTTCTTTGGTTTGGTCTTTGCTTTTTGTCCCAGATATACAGGCCGGACTCCGGGATGCAGACGGATTAGGCGACGCTGGTTTTCTCTTTAGGAACCTACTGAGTGGAACTTGCAACAATCTGGCTGACATAGCAGGGTGGCACAGTCTCCTGAGACATTGGCGCGAGCCTCACCTCCAACACGCTTACTGTTCGCGTGCGAATCGTGTTTTATCGCTTGCTTCCAAAAATGCCCTGTGAGAAACGGTATGCCGTTTGCTCGCTGTTTGAAGCCAAAAGTTATTTTGATGCTTTGTTTTCCCATGCTCAACGATTACCGGTTGCATGCTCTGCATGTTTTCATGTTCAGCAAATTACATGGTGCAGTGGCTGTCTGCAGCTTGTTGTGATGTGCCTTGGTGTGCAACATGCCATGCTTTGTGAATGCAAAGGTGCAATTGATGTCTGCAGCTTGTTGTGTATTCCTTGACGTGCAGCACGGGCTCCATCGCGCCGTGCAAAAATTTGTCTGTGTGAACCGGGTTTGGGGCTCCAACTGGTCCTGCTTCAACAGGCCCTCTCCTCAAACCTTGGCCTTAGGCCCAGTGCAAGTTGCCTGCGTGAAGCAGGCAGCGGATGGGAGCTCGCCTCCGTGGGCGAGCCGCACTAGAGTCACCCGTGCATTTGGGGCCCTGCAGCCCCGTGGGTCCTGCCAGGACCACCTGCTGTTGCTTTTGTTCCGGCTTCGGCTTGGGCGTGGCTTGCCTGCTGTTTGTCATCAGCCTCTGTTAGCCTCCCATGGGCTCCACCTGCGGTCGTCGTGCTCCGGAACAGCCGCTCGTCGAGCAAGACCCACCCATACCAGCTTGTCAGCAGGTCTGTCAGCAATGTGGCCGTAACGGGTGCATCCGCTACCGCATCAACCACAACCACCATTGGTGCGCTCACTGTGTGATTGCCTGGTACTTGGCCGTCTACGACCGATAGATGATATCCCCTGGCTCCGACGCAGCCATGGGAGAAACGGTATGCCGTTTGCTCGCTGTTTGAAGCCAAAAGTTATTTTGATGCTTTGTTTTCCCATGCTCAACGATTACCGGTTGCATGCTCTGCATGTTTTCATGTTCAGCAAATTACATGGTGCAGTGGCTGTCTGCAGCTTGTTGTGATGTGCCTTGGTGTGCAACATGCCATGCTTTGTGAATGCAAAGGTGCAATTGATGTCTGCAGCTTGTTGTGTATTCCTTGACGTGCAGCACGGGCTCCATCGCGCCGTGCAAAAATTTGTCCCACCCAGCCCGCCCTGGGCATGCACCCGCAGGGCCCGCTCCCCGCGGCTGCAACTCCCTGCGTGCACCGGCCGGTTCGCCGTTGCTCATCAGACGCGCCCCCGTCTCGGTCGGCTTGGCGTTTCGTCACTGGGGATCCCACCCGCCCTGCCCAGTTCAGGCTCTTGGCAGAGCCCGTCGCAGCAACAGCAGCTCCCTGCTGCCGTTCTGGCCACTTCCTGTAGTGTCTGGCTCCTTGCCGTAGTTTAGGACGTGATGCGTGTAGAGATATCCTCGCCCTGAAAGGGGGCTTTGAGGTTTTTGTAGTTGGTGATGCGCATGCTTTTGTTAGGCATATGCACTGACACAATGTGCATCGTGCTATCCCTAATGATCCTTGATTCGCCCACCGATGGAAAAGAAGGAATGCTTGGGACTGGCGAAGGCTTTAGGCTTTGCGTGTTGTCCTCTGATTTCGGACGGTGCTTTTGGGTTCAAACCAATTTTGGCACAAGCGATAAGATGTGGCTGAATTTATTTCACATGTACTTCCCCGTCTAAGGCTGGCATGCATGGCTGGTACATGGAGTGCAAGGCGTGACGTAGACTCACATGTTGGCATGCTGGACCATGGTTCCTTGTGGTTTCCCATTAATATGGCGATTCCTGGTGATGCAACCTCCATCTTTGACTGCGTGTTAGGATGGCATCACCAAGCGAACCTTCATGCTTTGGACTCAAGTACCTGCTTGTTTGCCATTCAGCTGGAAAGATTTTCGAAACCCCAAAACCATATTCTCAAGAACATGACGAGGCTCTCCGTACCTACCTTCATTTTGATGCCAGTCTTTGTCGATGACACGCTGGAGACTCAATGGGTTCCTTTCCTGATCAAAGCCGGCATCTTCCATGTGGGACGAACACCGAAGTCAGGTCACTATAGATCTTTTCTGGTGAACGGGCAAGATGTAGACAGTGACGTGATGCATGATTTTCCGCCTTCTTTTGTGACCGAAGATGCACAGAGAGCTTTTCCTCTGACCAACATTGATTCTGAACTTGTTTTGCGTAACACTTATGTTCTTTGGTGTGTCCGTGAGTAGTGTAGCGCTGATGCTTCTTGCAGCTTCGTGAATACACGTTTGACTGCAACTTTTGACGTGTGTGGGAGCAGCTCGCTTTGCAGTACGCTGCGGAGCTGGCCATCTTGATTGGCCGGGCCAAAAGGCCTGCTCGATAGTCTCGCTAGCCGTTTCGTTACGGTGCGTTCACAAAGCAAAAGGCCCGAGCATCGATCAATTGCTGCTGCCGCTTGTAGAGCAGCGGCGTCAAGTTGTAGCTGGGATACTGCTTGTGAAACGCCCGCAGCATCGCGGCCTCATTGCGCCGCTCGGGGAAGGGCATCATCTCTTTTTACAAGTCCATTGTGTTTGCGAGCAGGAGCTCATGGAAGCGGTCGGCTCGCGAGAGCTGCCGGGCGCGGCGAGCCTCCGAGGGCGTCATACGCAGGGGCTCTTGTGCTCGCTCCTGCTGGGGCTCTTGCTGCGGCTCCGGTGTCGGCGGCTCAACCGAAGGTCGCTCAGACACGGGCTTCGGAAGCTCCGCCACGGCCACAGTCGGGGGCGGTTTCGCCTTGTTCTTTGAACCTGGGGGTCGCCCTCGTCGCTTGGGACGGGGCGCTTCTTCAGCAGCCTCGGTCGGCGGCCTGGCCACCACGGCAGGCTCGGCAGGCTCGGGAGGTGGCTCGGTGGCCACCACCGGCTGCGCAGGAGCGGGTTCATCCTCAGCCATTTTCTTTTCCAATTTTTTTTGTTATCGTTCGGTGTCGAGGAAAACCACAAAGGAAATGCTGGTGCCTCGAGTGTTTACGATGTTGCCCTGGTAGTCGGTGAGCTTGAAGCGCAAGTGACGCAGGGTTATGGGCCCGTGCAGCTGAACCCAGTGCCCCTCTGACGTCTCGGTCTCCATGACGTGGCCCACACCTTTCGAAACGACGATTTTGCAGAGGATGTCGTGCCCCAACGGGCCCACCGTCGTCTCCCCGTTGGCCAGTGTTGGGCACCTGAGGTACAGTTCTGAGACCGGACTCATCGTCACAAAGACGAAGCGCTGCACAGAGCCTGTGAGGTAGCTGGGGCCCAGGAGGTGGTTGATGGACAGGGGCTTGCTGGGCGAGGTGCCCGGCGCGTAGGGGTCGTGCCTGGGAAGCGCTGCCGGAGCTCGGCGTCGTTCAGGATGAGGCGCACACCATCCCAGCTAATGTCCAACTCATTGGTCTCGGCGGTGTAGCTGGCGGAAGCGAAGTTGCTGCTGATCCACGCAGCAAGTCTCGGGCCCGTGTACGCGCCCACCGGGAGCTCCGCGTAGTGCAGGGTGCTGGCCACCGTGTCCTCCCAGTACAAGAACGTCCCGCGGTCCGTGCTCAGGAAGGCGTTGGCGCCGGATTGAATGTGCACACTCTCACCGATGTCGAAGGAGAAGCTGCTGTCCGTGCCCTCCGCGCGGAGGCGCGAGTCCACGTAGATACTTGTCATGCCCTTTTTGGAACGGCGCCATCGGGCCTCCCCCCAACAACTTGGCCGCCATCTGGCTCAGGAGCGTCCCCATTTAGCAAGAACTTCCGGTCGAAGCGCACCCAAAACATGTCTTCCTTGGGCGCGCGGAGGTTAACGAACCAGAAGCTGTAGGGCTCTCGCGTGGCTTCTTCGTACATCGAGTACAGGGTTTCCTTCGGCAGCATGGCCGAGAGTTCCTCCACCAAAGCGTCCAGCTCTAGCTGATTCCGCAGCCGGAAGACGCAGTAGAACATCACATTGACCCGCACCGCGCTGCTCATGAGCCGAAGCTTCTGGGTCGAGACCCAGGTGTTGATGCAAAAATGTCTGCCCCTGATGAACAGGGTGTCCAAAACGCCATCTCCCGTCTTGCGGTGCACCGCAGGATTATCGGCATGGTCATCTAGAACGACCAAAACCTGGTACAGCTTCTTCAGGCCCAGCTCCTTGCTCTTCTGGGTGATGCGCTTCTGGTCGGCGATGATCTTCCGCAGCGCCGCTTCGTCCCAATCCTCCCACCAGCACTGCTCCCGGTCCGTATTCACGCCCAGCTCGTCTCGGATATAGTCCTTAACGGGCTGCCAGGCAGAATCGACCTCTACCGAGGGTGAGAAGATAAAGATGCGCTCAAAACAGCCCCTGTACTGCTCCAAAATCATGCTCACCAAAAGCACGGTCTTCCCGGAAGCCGATGGAGCGCATAAAATTCCGTTGGCGGGGGGCTTGCAAACCACGGGGTCAGGCGGCTGCTTGACAGAGTACTCAGGCGTCTTGAAGAGACGCACCTTGCCCATTTAACCCAAGTGTTGCGCTCGCGGCGATCTCGTCGCACAGCGCGGGCGGGATGGAGTAGAGCTGGTCCCGCGAGTTGCTCCCCTGCCGCCCCTTGGTGGGCCCTCGCTGCGCAGCCTCTGGGTGACGAGTTCCTTGGAAGGCCTCGCAGCGGTCTCCCTTGCGGCAGGGCCCCTGGGAGGGGGTCCAGGGCAGGTTGTGCCACACCGCGGTGGGCTTCTTGTACCGGAAGCCGTACTTGCAGTACGTGACCCGGTCCATGTGCAGCCCTTGCGTGTAGGGGCGGGTTTTCAGGCGCCCGGTGCTCGGGTTCTCGATGGCCCACCACTTGGGCTTGAGGTAGTCGATGATCTCGAACGTCTTGAGCACCAGGGCGTCCCCGACCGGCAGGTTGCGGGGGCGCTTCTTGAGGGCGAACAGGGCGAGGCCCACACCATGTCGAAGTGCCCGGGCTCGAAGGCCTTGTAGTCCCACTGCAGGATGTCGGAGCAGATGGTTGGGCTGGCTTTTGGGTTGCTGTCAAGACTCGTTACCTCCCAGCCACGGGCCTCGAAGGCACGTCCGACCGACCCCGTGCCGCTGAAGAGTTCCAGGAGTCTCATTTGTTGAAGGAAAAGAAAAGGCCCACAGGACCAGCAAGCACGCCAGCAGGGCCACCACGCACTCCGCGGTGGAGACGGTGGCCGGCATTTTTTTTCTTGTCGTGAAAAAAGAAGGAGCGATGGAGCCCAAAACGGTACTCAAGCTCGGTGAGCTTACGACCAACCAGCGTGGCGGCAAGTTCTTCCCGGTGTGCGCGGAGGCCTGGCGGTCGCACGAGTGGCTGCGCATCTTGTGGCACCCCAGCCCCTACGGCAGCGAGACGGAAGCCCGGCGACTCCCCCTGTGTCTCGAGCAGAACGAGGCCGCCAAGGCAGACCTGGAGGCGATCGAGAAGGACATCAAGGGCCAGCTGACCCAGCGATGCCTCCACGACTCTAAAATCTTCGGCCGCTGCCTCACCGCGTCGGACGTGGAGGGTCGCTTCGTGTCCTGCCTTAAGACCTCCTCCCGCGGGAACAGCTTCATCAAGCTCAAGGTCGATTTGTCCCGAGTCCACTTCTGGGACGCTGACCAGCAGCCGCTGGAGGATCCTGGCGACCTGGCCGGTCGGGAATGCAAGGTGCGCGCAGATTTGCGCCAGGTGTGGCTCATGTCGGGCCAGTGCGGGCTTCTGATGGAAGTGACGGACCTGCAGCTCAGAGAGGCCGAAGCCCCGGCTTTTCAGTGTCCGTTCTAGAGCACGCTCAGGAGCTCGCTGCTGGTGGCCCTGCTGCTCCCCACATAGACGTGCTTGAGGGTGAAGTGCGGGCTCTCGGTGTCGCACAGGAAGACCCGCCCTTCGAGCGTCAGGCCTTGACACGAGGCGTAAGTGATGGCGTGGCACAGCCGGGTGTGTTTCAGGAGGGCGGTGTGGGTGAAGGAGTCGCCGCCGTCCAAGACGATCATCTCGGGGCCCACTTCGGCCACATGTGCGTAGATGCCTTTGGTCACGCGGCCGCCGACGCCGATGAGCTTCAGGCCGGGCCAGACCCGCATGGTCTGCGGCATGTTGGTGGTCGTCGGGCCGGTGCCGGTGTACTCGATCGTCACAGCTTCCGGCGCGTGGGAGATGACCAGGCTGACATCGGGCTCGCCTTGCCGCGGAAACTTTTCCCGGGCTGCCCGGACTGCTTCCGGGAGGGACTGCTCCCGGGGCTCGTCGACCCGGAGCCACCGGAGGAAGTCGAAGATGCCCGGGTCGCCCCTAATGTTTTTGGTGAGCTCGTGGTGCCAGCCGTCGGTGAGGTCGTGGAGCAGCTGGGAGTGCTTGAGCTCCCGCTGCACCGGGGTGCCCGCGAAGTTGTCCATGATGGCGGGGAACTGGCGGAAGTCGCCGAGCAGCAGGAACTTGACTTTGCGGTTCATGGAGACGCAGGCGATATCGTTCCACAGCCCGGTGTCGAGCTGCGTGATTTCCTCCGCCACCAGCCAGTCGATGTTGCAGTAGCCGTTCCGGACGGTGCTCCGCACCCAGTGGTCGGCCGTCTCCGCCTGCATTCCAAAGTTCTGCACGGAGGAGTGGGTCTTCGTGATGATCATACTGGCCTTCGAGGCCCTTGACCTCCTCGCATCGGTACACGGGCGTGCCGTCGGGGTGCCTTTCCCGCACCAAGCCATCCACGAGGCCCTGGAACTTTTTGGGCAGGTCCTGGAAGACGACGCAGTCCGTTTTGACGGCCTTCAGGTACCTCGACGGCACGGTTGCGAGTGCATCCCGGGTTCTGGAGACGGCGACGTACTCCGAGGCCATCACGAAGTCGTGCACGAGCCGGCAGCTCCGGTTGGACAACAACTGGGTCACGTAGATGTGATCCCAGTGCATCCCACCCGCGGCGTCCAGGAACAGCTCCCGGTGCTGGCACCCGGAGCCGTCGAACTGGTGGTTGCTGGTGCGCATGGTGTAGATGAGGTTCATGTTGCGTGCCCAGAGCCCGATGAGGGCATTCACCGACAGCTTCGCGTAGTGCTCCTCTCCCTCCGGCCAAGCCGCCTCCATTTTCTGCAGGGCCTGAGCCACGGACTCCTGGTCCACGTGCGCCGTGGCGTCCAGGCTGTGCACGAAGTCGCGCCAGGTGGCAAGGCCTTTGTCCAGCATGTAGGCTTGGCGTACCAGCCCTGGCCCACATAGGGGAGCTGCTTGAACGCCGCCCAACGCCCGAAGCCTCACGTAGGTCAGGTCCGCCAGGTGCCCTTCGCGGGCTTGCTCCACGTTGTCCTTGGGGCAGAAGATGGGCGCCGGGAACTTGGCATGGGCCAGGCCGTTCTTGCGGCACCGCACCACGTCTATACCGTGGCAGATGTGGTCCGGCTTGTGGCTGTTGAGCTTGAAGACGAGCGGCGGGAGTCGAGGCGATTCCACGTACTGCTCGTAAGCCCGCCGGCTGAAGCGCGACTCCAGTGTCGTGGCGTGCGAGGACTCCAGGGCCGTTTTGTTCCGGTGGCACTCGAGGCACAGTGCCTGGAGGTTCTGGGCCTGTGCGGCGAAGGGCTGGTGCACGGGGATGATGTGGTCCAACTCGCACGTGGTTGCGGTGATGGGGGCCGCGCAGAGCTTGCACTGGTGGTCCTGCTCCGCGAGCAGGGCTTGCCGAGATCCGGGCGGATCGCGGCGGGCCTTGAGAAGGTGAAGGAAGACCTCGCTTGCGGCGCCCGCCAGACGCTGCCCGCAATAGGGGAGCCCCAGCCGCCCCATCCAGGCCTGCAGCACATCCAGGTCTTCGTGGAAGGCGGAGATGACACAGTCCTCGCCGCCCCGCACCCTCAGCCGCAGGCACCGCCACTCGCTCATGCTTCGCATGACCACCTTCGGGCAGTGCCCCTCGGCCAGGAGCTCCCTCCGGACCTGCTCCAGGTCTTCAGCGTAGAAGACCTCGCCCTCCCACTCCCGCCAATCCTTGAACTCGGGCGTTTCGCCTGGCTTCCTCTCGCCCCGGTACCTGGCCCGCTCCCCGATCGGCTCGCACTTCGCGACGGTGCGGGCGGATTTGTAGAAGAAGGCGTGGCCATTCCAGCTCGTGAAGGCCACGGCCCGCTGCTCCTTGACGGTAGGCTCGTACTTGTCCAGCAGGCGGCCCTGGCAGTCCACGTAGAACATCGGGGCCTGGCGCCAAGGCAGAATTTCCGGATCTCTCGGGGGGTGATGACCTGCTCCCGCCACGTTTTTTTGGTGCAGATTGCGTCGAAGTCCGAAAGCACCTCCTGCAGCGGCAGCCGCATCAACTCCGCGAGCTGCCGAGGGACGCAAAGCTTGTCCGGCCGCTGTTCGAAGGCGGACTCTAGGATTTCGTCGCCGCAGTACAGCTGGTAGGAGACGTCCCGCAGAGCCCCCAGGGGCTGATCCAGGACGGTCTCCACCACCACCCGGTCGTCTACGACCTGCATGGCCTGCTCGCTGAAGGTCCACTCCCTCGTCGCGTCCAGGTAGTAGCTCTCGTCGGACAGCTCCCAAATAATGTTGTTCGGCTCGGGTTCCCGAGCTGCGCGAGCGCGGACGCCTTGAGGTTCCGGGCCGCTTGGGCCGTGTTGTTTTTGCTGAAACGGAGCGAAAATCGCGAGACCTACCCAGAAGGCCCGCGAAAATGTGAACTCCTGCTTGGGCCGTGTTGTTTTTGCTGAAACGGAGCGAAAATCGCGAGACCTACCCAGAAGGCCCGCGAAAATGTGAACTCCTGCTGGGGGGTGCTGTTTTTGCTGAAACGGAGCGAAAATCGCGAGACCTACCCAGAAGGCCCGCGAAAATGTGAACTCCTGCTGGGGGGTGCTGTTTTTGCTGAAACGGAGCGAAAATCGCGAGACCTACCCAGAAGGCCCGCGAAAATGTGAACTCCTGCTGGGGCCGTGCTGTTTTTGCTGAAACGGAGCGAAAATCGCGAGACCTACCCAGAAGGCCCGCGAAAATGTGAACTCCTGCTTGGGGGTGTTAAATCGCAATCCTAAACCTGTAAGTAAGCCCCTTTTCGTTTTGTGCAATGTTTTCACATGATTTTGGCATGATTTTTGTGGCAGTGCTTGTCCCGCGCTCGCTCCCTCGAAGGATGCATTGGCATTGAACACCCACTAAGGATATCTGGCAAGCAAAAGCGACCCGTTCACTGCAGAGAGCCTTTCTTTCATCATTTTTTTGCGAAAACACGCATCAGTGCAGATGAAGAAAAGATCATGTCAGAGCTGCGCTTGTCTACCTTGGATGAACTGTTGCATAAGTTGGCGACCGAGCTACTACATTTTGCACAAGATGTAGTGACTGAAGAGTTTAAGATGATCGCACGGGCGGCTGTCAAGAATGACGGAGACGGTCATGTTGCAGATTCAGCTGCTGTCAAGAATGACGGAGACGGTCATGTTGCAGATTCAGCTGGCTTTGGCAAGCAGCCGTGGTTTGTGAGTGTGAAACAAGACCTTGCTTCTGGTAATGTTACAGATTCCGATGAGTCTAGCTGCATGGTGGAGGAAACTCATGGTTCTGATGAGTCAAGCTGCACGGCTGAGGAAGCTCATGGCGCATTTGTCACTGCAGAGATGTTCCGCGCGTTTTTAGATGAAGAGCGTCATCGCCCTCTTGTTGCAGATCTACCGAAGCACATTATAGATCTGCGACATCTTATACTTCAGATTGGCCGGCAAGTGTTTGAGACACATGGCATTGGCATCGTTGTCGACCAGATGCACGTCATTCGCTTCAGCAATGATGAAAGTTCTCGCATAAAGCTTGGCATGGCTATGACATGCGATATGAGAAGTATCTCGTTCACAAGTGCAACTCTGGATACCTGGCTTCGGTATGTGAGACCATTCAGACTGGCAGGTTACACGACAGCTTCAATAATGGCGTTAGGCTTTGTTCTGCGATTGGAGGCTACATCTTTGCAGTTGCGGCAAGTGGAAAGATGCTTACACACTGCGCGTGCGAAGCATGCAGACACAGCGCTTCCTTACATCTTCAGCGAGAGGTTTCATGCTCGACACGGACGTGGCATGGGCTGCTGCGAAGTTTATCATGACAGCGATCGCTTGTGCAGGTACTTTGTGGACATGGTGCATGTTGCATGTCGCGGTCTTCTTGTACGACAGCCATGGACTTTGCCGATGAGCTGGTCAGTTGTTAAATCGCTGGGGCTACGGACGACTATGCTGCAGCTTCTTCCAAAAGACTCTTGCCCGCGATGTTGGTTCCAGAATCGAGTTCGAGTCTCTCCAGGGTCAATTCGAGGAGAACCTGGCGTGGTTGCTTGTCAGCATAAGGTGTCGTGCCCGAGAGACAACAAGAAACTCAGATAGAAACGCAAGAAGCAAAAGCAGGATTGGCGTCAGAAGCGACGTGAGAATCACCCCACTGATGAGGCAGAAATTCAAAGTCGATTGAAGACATTCTTGGAGGGTCACTGTCAGTGGACGGATCGAGCTAATGCGACTCATGTGAGTGTGTTGAAGAAGTCTGCGGCTGCACACTGCTGTGCTACTTTTCACCAGATTGGTTTGGCTTTCGCAGCTCTGGGCATCAAATCTGAGTCTCGAGCAACAGCAGCTGGGCGGATTTTGTCTAGAAGCTCCGTGCGACATGGAGAGCCCAATTGTGTCAGACTCCTCTCTGCAGCCGAGAAGAGGGAGTGTCTGGTGAAGATGCTTGTCGCCAGTGCATAAGATTCAGAGCCTCAAGCAATGGTATGCATAAATTCAGCTTGCCAGAGTAGAGAGCGAACTCCAAGGGGGAAGCGTCGGAGCATGGAAAATTTGATGTCGCGTTTGAGTCTGCCGTGCGTGCCGGGTTTTCCGAGTCGGTTACGGTCTATCATATGGGATATTTTCAGGATCTTGGGTTTCTTTTATATTTAGACCCTAGACCTGAAACCCTTGGAGGCCCCTCAACATCAGTTTTGAAAATACTGATTATAAAGGAGGTACTTTTGAAACACCAGCCCGAGGGACAAATCCCAATCGAAACCCATAACAAGGCAAAGCGCCCGAAAAAAACATGGGAAAACACTGACAAAAACAAGCGAAGAGCATACAAACATCAGTTTTGAAAATGCTGATTATAAAGGAGGTACTGTGGAAACACCAGCCCGAATGAGAACCCCAACCAAAACCCATGAGAAGCTCTTCAACGGCCTTAAGCTGCATCCTCAACCTTCCCAGAACCCCACAGACACCTTATTCGAGGCTGTTAAACATCCGAGAGCCCCTCGCTCTGCCGGGGCAGTGTGACGTTGAGGTCCGTGACGGGCAGGCGCTTCGTGCGCTCGTAGGGCATGCCGCGGTTCCGGACGTTTCGCCGGATGCCGCGGATGATGACGGGCACGTGCACCACCCAGTCCACCCACTTGTCCTTGAAGAAGCTCTTCCCGAGCTTGGTCAAGTGGTAGTTCCCGTTGGGCTGGAGGCTGCGGAGCAGCTTTTTGGCGCCGCCCCGGAGCATGATGTAATCGTTAGGGCCCTCGCGGAGAGCGCACGCGCTTCTTGAGGCCTGAGCGGAGGAGGATGTAGTCTGTGGGGCCTTCGCGGAAGGGGCCCGCCGCCCCCAGGGCATGTAATCGTTAGCACCCTACCTCCAGGGGCCCGCCGCCCCAGGGCGGCGGGCCCCCCTTTGCTGATTCCGTTTTTGTTTGGGGAGCCCGCCGCCCCATGTGTTGCATGTTTTTGCTTGATTTTTCGCATGATACTGACTTTTTTTGTGCGTGATTTTGGCATGTTTTTTTTTTTGAATAAATTTTGTGCTTGCTTTGTTTTTGGCTAGAGTGCCTGTCCCGCGCTCGCTCCCTCGAAGCATGAGCAGGCAGCAACAACAGGCAGCAGCAATCTCTTGACACGGCTTTCAAATCGGACGCATGCCTTCAATGCAGAGACGCAGGAAGCAGCAAGATTTGCCGTTTCAACTCTGGCATCCATCCTCTTGCCCGCAAGCACAACCTCATCCAAGTCGCACTGCGCTTGGGTTTCTGCGACCCACGCAAGGCGGCGAAGAGGAGACACTATGCTGTTGGAGTCTGAGGACAGCTGGTTCACTCTGGGTGGGCTCGTTGGCTCCGTAAGGTCTGTCATCTTCGACTCGTCTTCCTCAGCTAGCCGTGGCGGCACAAACGGCTTGTGTCCACTCGAAGGCAGCATGGAATCAAGAGAAAGGTACTTCCTTACTCACAAGACAGTCATGTCGGACGCCGTTCAATACAAGAACAAGATGTGGTAGTCCTTTGTCTACTGTCTTACTAGAAGTGGCTCCCTGCAAGGCGTGGAAGAGAAACCGGACACGATGGCAATCGAAGTCAATGAGAACAGCACGTTTGCTTGGCTTTATTTGCTTCTCATGGTGGTTTACAAGAATAGCTTGCGGCAACAGACATCTCCGCAGACCGTTCAGGAGAAGTACACGCAAGCGCGGTCAGATTATACCGGTGCGGCAGATGATTGTGGTTCTCTTGGAGTCTACTTGAAGTCTATTTGGCCTGAGCAGCATGAACTTTGGCCAATCCTATCAATGCAGAAATCACTCGATCGCGTGACGCGGTGTACAATTTGAGTCACGTTTGTTGAACATCAAAACCCAAATTATCCATTGCCTAACATCCTAAGTTATCCGCTGTCAGGTCTATGAGCTTGCGGGTGAAGACGTGCAAATCGACATCGATGTGCTAGGACGCCATCTTCAAGATCCTGTGTATCCTAACAAACTGGATAGCATGACAAAGCCTGCAGAAATGTGGGCTTTCTACAAATCTGCATTATCATCTTCGATGCGAAGCAACTCTCCCGTGTCATCTTCGGTGCTAAAGCGCCTGGAATTTGCGATGAATGAGTTCGCTGCGCATTACTCCAAGACAACGAATCCCGCAGCAGTTGGCATGGTTCATGTTATCCCTTTCCGCAAGGCTACCGGAGAGATGATCTTTAAGGTTGGAAAGAGCTCCTTCGAGTTGCGCAAGTCGGACACTACCAGGATCCCACTAGTACGTTGTCTAGAGCGATACAGGAGCATAATGTTGCAGGGTGATCTTCAATGCGTCGGCATGCCGTTCTTATTCTTGACTTCGTCATCCGGTCGTGCGCAAGACATAGAAGGCCATCTCCATACATACATGAAGATGGAGCACGTGCAAGAGCAAGATGTGAGTACGAGTTTTGGTGGCCGCAAGAATGGCGGTCTATGTGAAATCTATCGCGAGACCGCCAAGGATGTTATACTTGACATGTTACGTCGAACGTCAATGCTCTCACAGTTGCAAATGAATGAGGCCCGAAAGGAAATGGACAAGAAACGCAAGCGACAAAGTAGTCGCTCAGGAGCTAGCAAGAGGGTACGCAAGAAGCCAGCCGCAGTAGTTGACTACTTCTAATATGTCCAGTGCGTGGTGCATGGAGCAGCCAACTTTTCCATGTAGAATCGCTGCCCCGAACGCAAGCGTCCCGTACCCATGTGCATATGCAGAACACGAAGCAGCCAACTTTTCCATACAGAATCGCTGTCTATCGTAGATCCCCAGCATGAGTGTCACATGTACAGCATGTCCCTGTATAGCAGTTTCAGTACGACAACCCTCTCTCTCTTTTGCCGAATTCTCACGCGGAAGCCCATGGCCCGTGAAAAAGGTGCACTGCAGGGTTCGGTAGTGTTTGTGAGGGAACCCTAAACGCTTACAGGCACTTCAACGGCTTTGACCTGCATCCTAAACCCTTAGAGGCCCTTCAACGGCTTTAAACTCCGAGAACTTATTTGCAGGGGCCCGCCGCCCCAGGGCGGCGGGCCCCCCCTTGCGGATTCCGCACCCCTCCCACGTTTTTGGGGGGGGCCCGCCGCCCCAGGGCGGCGGGCCCCCTTTGGTTGCGGTACTGTTGAGGGGTTGGTTGCGGTCGTACTGCCGGCTGGGGGGCGGCCGGCCGATCAGTTGGTAGTAGTACTGGCCGGCCCTCGTGAGCTCGCCGTTCGGGCGGCTGAGCATCGCGTAGCGGAGGTGGTGGTGTGTCAAAGGAAGGGGTTCTGCGCCTGCCGCCGAGGTCCTCGCCCTGACCCCGGCCTCGGCTGCAATTCTGATCGCTTCTCGTTGTTGAGCCCAGCTCATGACTTTTGAAAACCCCGGCCGGAAAAAAGGTCGTCGCCCGAGCGGGCCCCCCTTCGCCGGTCGAGTTTCCAGGAGTTCGCATCCATAGGTACTGGCGAGGGTATGAAAGAACGCCTTTCACCGGTCGACCTAAAAATCACTGCTTCAGGGCGAACAGGCCTGCCTTAAACCCCTAGGATTTACCCTAAGCCCTAAACGTTGGCGTTTTTTGTTTTGCATGTTCTTGCTGGATCTTCGCATGATTTTGGCATGACTTTGCACATTTTTTGCTAGAGTGCTTGGGCCGCGCTCGCTCCTCGAAGCGCCAGCAATCGACAACATACCGTGAAACGCGCCTTCGGGGGGCCAGGGTTTCACGTTTCACGCGCCTTCGGGAGGGCCAGGCCAGGGTTTCACATTTCACGCGCCTTCGGGGGGCCAGGGTTTCACGTTTCACGCGCCTTCGGGGGGGCCAGGCCAGGGTTTCACATTTCACGCGCCTTCGGGGGGGCCAGGGTTTCACGTTTCACGCGCCTTCGGGGGGCCAGTTCACGCCGCCTTCGGGGGGGCCAGGGTTTCACGTTTCACGCGCCTTCGGGAGGGCCAGGGTTTCACGTTTCACGCGGGGCCAGGGTTTCACGTTTCACGCGCCTTCGGGGGGGGGGGCCCAGGCCAGGGTTTCACATTTCACGCGCCTTCGGGGGGCCAGGGTTTCACGTTTCACGCGCCTTCGGGGGGCCAGGGTTTCACGTTTCACGCGCCTTCGGGGGGCCAGGGTTTCACGTTTCACGTGCCTTCGGGAGGGCCAGGCCAGGGTTTCACATTTCACGCGCCTTCGGGGGGCCAGGGTTTCAGGTTTCACGGGCCTTGGGGGGGCGGCCAGGGTTGACATTTCACGGGCCTTCGGGGGGCCAGGTTTCAGGTTTCACGGGCCTTGGGGGGGCGGCCAGGGTTGACATTTCACGGGCCTTCGGGGGGGCAAGGTTTCACATTTTATGGGCTTTGGGGGAGTGTGCCGCCGCAAGGCCCGATCCCTGCTGCGAACCCCGACCGAGGCATCTTGCAGCAGTTGCCTGTGCACTCCTGGCTGCATGTTGGTTAACTAAACACTTGGCCCGTGACTGAAGTAGGGGGAGCTCAACCATTCGTTCATGCAGATGGCCTTTTGCTCGAGCCAGAGGACAGCTAGCACCAGCTAGGACCATTGCCGCCATGAGCAGGCCTCCAGCAACATCACGCAAGAGGCGCGTGCTGGCGCTACTGGCGCTGTTATTGGCGTGTCAGCCAGAGCCTAAGACCAGCGCCTTGAACACTGTTAGATGTGTTCCCGCGTAGCTTCAGGCGAGCAACGCAGACGGCGCGGGCTTTGCTAGGAGCGGGGCCCGTGCAGTTTCCAAGGTGGGATATGTGGGATGTGATGTATGGCATGGAGTGCCGAAGATCCGCAAGCCAGAGCGAGGTCGGTTCCTGCGGGAATATGGGCACGCAACTTTCTCGTCACACGCAGGGCTAAGGCGGGAAGCCGAGACCCAGAGGAAATTCTGCATTAAGCTTATGTCCTGAAGAGCTGAGGCTGATGGCACTTTGGGCCGTGGTGAGGCCCAAGACAGTGAAGACGTCAAGGCGAAAAGGGTTTGTCGTTTCGGCGTGGCGTTCTTTGTGCTGTTCTGATGGCATGTCCTTCGCTCCTGCCAGAGTGTCATTTTCTGACCAGGGGTCTCTGCAACCTCGTGAAGACGAAGATAAGGCGAGGTTTGCTTGTCCTTTCGGCGTGTGTTCGGATTTCGCATCGAAACCTGCTCGGCGGGAGCATCAGACGAATTTGGAGGAGTTTGAGGGATTGATTGCGAGGGTTGCATGAAACTGTCCTGCCAGCAGCATATGTAGGTCTTCTCGGGATCAGTCCATGTTGGGAGGCCACCTCAGGAAAGGATCAGGATGAGGTGGAGGAGGCAGGCACTTCCAGGGAGCCTGTTCTTGCTGGTGAGGGCTTCACAATTCTGCGTGGCTCCTGCAGGCCAAAGGAAGCTTCGATCAGGCGGGCTCCGTGAAGGCTCGTCGACACATGTTTGAGGCTGTGCCCCTTGCTGCAGGCCGACTGGCTAGACAAGACAGCTGAAGAGATCCGGTCGTTTGGAGCTGAGGAGGTGCAGCTTGTGATGTCGCTGTTGGGAAACCGCTTCGAGTCAGTGTGGATGGACAGGTCGGTTATTGGATCAGAGCGGTCTTGGAAGAGGAGAGCTACGACAACGACGAAGACGAGGAGGTTGTGCAGGAGATTACAAATACTCTGAAGGTCCAGAGTGTCAAAGGCCGCGCGCTGTTGCTGTTGACTTCGGACGACATGAAAGACATGAAGATTCCCGTGGGGCCGCGCAAAGTCCTGGAAAATCGCATCGCAGCCGTGTCAAAGGCGACGGCCAAGGCCGGGTTTCTTTGGGTTGTTGGGGGTCATGCTCTCTCTCCTCCAGACGGGAATCTCGCAAAATCCCCTCGTTCAGCTGTCTCACGGGCTTGTTTTGAACACTTCCGGGAGCAGGAGGGGCTTTCGGAGCAGTGGGCTCTTGGCTGCCTTGAGTTTGCAGCACTTCGGGCTGTGTGGGCTGCGTGTGCAGTTGTTGCTGTTGCCTTTGCTTTGCGGCACTCCCGCGTGGTCGTCGTGCGTTTTCGTGCGGCCCAACCGTTTGCTTTTTGGGGTCATGCTCTCCTCTCAGCAAGGATCCCCTTGTCGTTAAGCTTCACTGTGTTGGCTTGCAGCACTTCGGGGAGCGGGAGGGGCTTTCGGAGCAGAGGGCTCTTGGCTGCTTTAGGTTCATGCAAATCTGGTGGCCCTTCGTGTTTTGCCGATGCTTCAGAACTGGGTGTCAGTCCTAGGCTCGAGGTGGGGGGGTCAGCCTGTTTTGCGCTCGCTTTGCGCTCTCCAGGTTGCGATTGTTTTTGTTTGAGGCTCGACTTTCCGGTTAGTCCGTGAGGGGGAGTCAAGGGACCTGGGTTCTTAGTGCTTTTAGCACGCGGACCTTGCCGAGCACTGGGGTTCCGGCAAGACGAGTGCAGGGGGCTTCTGCGTGGGCATGCCTTTGGTTTGTAGCACTCCTGCATGTCCGGGGGCTCTTGGTCGTCGTGCGTTTTCGTGCGGTCCACCGTTGTTGCTTTTTGGGGGTGATGCTCTCAGGATTTTCTTGTGGTTGTGGTTTTGTGAACCCTGCGTTGGTTCTTGATGCTTGCAGTGAGGCTGGAGGTGAGAGGCTTTGCGTTGCTCTCAGGTTGTGGTTGTTTGACTTTGGACTTTCAGGTTACCGTATCCGGTGGTTGTGTAGCTGGCGGGTGACTGCTGTAGCAGCAATCTGGGTTTTGTTGTGTTTTCTGATTTGTCGAGGTCGGGCAGGGCCTTCGAGGTCTAAAGACCATCCGCGTTTTGCAGTGCAGCTGTGCGGGCTTCTGTTTAGCTTTTGCTTGTGCTGAGCTTGCGGCGAGCTGACCAAATGTCCCAGCTTGCAGGTGCCTGATGCACGAGAGGCCATCCAGGACTGTCTGAAGTCAACTCCGGCAAAGTCCCTAGCGAGCCCCACCCATTAAAGACAGTCGAGTCCGAGCCAACCTCCCCGTAGCCCAACTGTTGACCTCTTTGCACGCTCTGTTCGCAGGACATCCGCTCCCCAAGCTGGACTGTGCACTCTCCAAGAGCGATGGCCCCACAGCTCATTGCGCGCGAGGAGGCCAAAGCCGCAATCCTTGAGTACATCAAGGGGGTCTTGTCACAGGAAGAGTACTACTGGGAACCCGCGTCAAGGAAGTGCGCCATCCTGACGACGGCCGGCATTAAGGGCACAGGCAAGACTCGAGTACTTCACGAGATGTGCACGAGCTGGGTGTGCGAAACCGGGGAAACCGGGGCGAAGGCGGCTCTGATTGTGGACTTCAATGAAAAGAGCTCTTGGGACCACAGCAAAGCTGCAACCGAAGTGTTTTCAGTCTTTTCAAAGCTCCTCCTTCAGCAGTCAGGCATGCCTGCGGATAAAGCAGAAAATTGCGCGCGGGTTCTTCCATGGAAGCAGGTGATGCAGTGTTTGCGGGAGAAGCTGAACTTGGGCGACGAAGACCTTCTGCTGGTAGGCATCGATGAGATTCGACAGTTGGAGACCGTGGCTGGCAAAGACGGGGCTGTGCAACTAATATCCGACCTCATGGCAGCCCAGGACGAGTCCCTCCTCCAAACAAGCAGCTGCCCTGTAATCTTCGTGTGGACATCGCTGCTTGAGAGCTACATGCCGATGCTGATGAGCGACTCTGGGCGCCGCATCCTGCCAACGATCTCGTTGAGGGGTTTGCCACTTGCAAAGGCTTTGGAGCTGCTGCCCAGCGACCTTCGCGAAGCACTGGAGAAAGAACCATTCGGACGGCAACTGGTGCGACAGCTGCTGGGTCATCCGCGGTTGATGTTCGATGCGTTGATACAGGAGTACTCCAAGCACAAGCCTCCTCGGAATCCACTTGCATGGAATCAACTTCAGAGTCACATTGTATCTTATGCCAAGCTCGGCGACCGAAAAGCCTTGGACAGCATCGAGGTTGCTCGCTGGTATTCTCCTCTCCGTTCCACAACTCAATCAGGGCTTGAAGACCTCTGTCTGCGTGGTGTTGTTCATTCCGTGCGATGTGGCGACAGCTGGATCAATATCCTCCATCCCATACTGCTGCAACTTTGGGCACGGAGTGAGGAAACCAGTCTCGCAGACCAGATCAACCAGATGTTCGAGCAGGATGCGATCATGGAGGCCCCTCCGGACATCATGGTGCACTTCGACTGTGCTGTGCGCCTGGCGTTGGGCGAGAACAACTGCACACTAAAACAGCTGTTCCCTGGGGCAAGCTTTTGGTCCGAAAGGGGCGGTTTGCCGAACATCATCGTCACCTCCACACAGAATGTTCTTGCCCCATTGGAGTATGTCGAGTCCTTCGCAGATGTAGAGGCGGTCTTGGAGTCTCTCAAAAACGGTAAGATCGTCGTGTCCAAGCTGCGCAACGAGCCGGGCATCGAGTACTTGATCCCGTGGATGGTCCCGAATCAGGATGACCGGAGGCGGATTCGTGATTTGAAGCCGCCGTGCAACAAGACAGAGTCAGCTTCTCTCCTCGTTCTTGGCATCCAGACGAAATGCGTCGGCGGGAATGTCCCGAAATGGGCCAGCGTTGCAAAGTCAGCACAGGAGGCGCTTGCTGGCTTCCAAAACCACCCGGATGTTCTTGGAGCCCTGCCCGTCTTCTACACCACCGAGGTCCGTGTTAAGACTCCCCCAAAAAATCTCGAGATTCCCAGCATCTACTTCAACGAAGTGGGGCTCGCAAAACTATTGTTGCAGCGGACCGGTCCACTGCGACTCTTTTTCCTGAAGCCCGGTAAGCCGCTCGAGAAGATGCTGCCGGACTTCTTCGAGAGCAAAAGAAGTGCATTGCATAAGAGAGCATGAGCTGTGGTCTTGTCCAGTGGCACCTTGTGGCTCAAAGGTACGCACCTCGTGAGCGGAAGGCACCTGGCAGGTTTCAAATCTGGATGTCCTAAGTTGTTCTTGGTGCCCCTCAGAGAATCTGTCTGCTTGTTCCAAACGCTTCTCGGCAGGAAGCCGAGGCGAATATTACCCGTGTGACACGGGCCTCATTAAGAGACTCATGGCCCTTGTCACCCTCATTAAGCTGCGTTATTAAGTGTGAGCATGTGAAGAGGCCTTGCAAAGGAAAGTTGCCGAATTGAAGAGCATTGCTGCGTCATCACCCGTGCAGAGATGTCATAGTTTAAGAGCACAACTGCGTGTAAAGATGTGATAGTTAAAGAGCACAGTTGCGTTATCAAGTGAGCATGTGAAAATGTAAAAGGCAGTTGCAGAATTGAAGCCCTTGCAGAGATGTCATAGTTTAAGAGCACAGTTGCATTATCAAATGTGAGCATGTGGAAATGTTTTGCACGTTCTTGTGAGAGGGAAGTTGCAGAGTTGAAGAGCATTGCCGCGTCATCACCCGTGCAAAGATGTCATACTTTAAGAGCACAGTTGCGTTATTACGTGAGCATGTGAAGAGGCCTTGCAAAGCGAAGTTGCAGAATTGAAGAGCATTGCCGCGTCATCACCCGTGCAAGGATGTCATAGTTAAAGAGCACAGCTGCGTTATCAAGTGAGCATGTGAAAAGGTCTTGTAAGGTCTTGTGAGAGGGAAGTTGCAGAATTGAAGTTGCGTTATCAAGTGAGCATGTGAAAAGGCCTTGCAAAAGGAAGTTGCAGAATTGAAGAGCATTGCCGCGTCATCACCCGTGCAAAGATGTCATAGTTTAAGAGGACAGCTGCGTTATCAAGTGTGAGCATGTGAACATGTTTTGCAAGGTCTTGTGAGAGGGAAGTTGCATCACCCGTGCAAAGATGTCATAGCTTAAGAGCACAGCTGGTAATCAAGTGTGAGCATGTGAACATGTTCTGCAAGGTCTTGTGAGAGGGAAGTTGCAGAATTCAAGAACATTGACATTGCCACGTCATCACCCGTGCAAAGATGTCATAGCTTAAGAGCACAGCTGCGTTATCAAGTGTGAGCATGTGAACATGTTTTGCATGGTCTTGTGAGAGGGAAGTTGCAGAATTGAAGAGCATGGCCGCGTCATCACCCGTGCAAAGATGTCATAGCTTAGCAGCAGAGCTGTGTTATCAAGTGTGAGTATGTGAACATGTTTTGGAAGGTCTTGTGAGAGGGAAGTTGCAGAATTGAAGAGCATTGCCGCATCATCACCCGTGCAAAGTTGTCATAGTTTAAGAGGACAGCTGCACTTCCCCAAAACGTAGGCCCGAAATGCAAAACCCAAGCTTCAAGCAGACGATGTTTCAGGACCCAGTATCTTGTGACCTCCTGAACTCCAACACCTTCGGATGTTCTGATTTTGTGTAGCTTCTTTGGGTTTCGAGCATGTGCGTATCGCCCGAAAACCTTGAATTTCCGTAGAGGTGTGTGCACATGACATACATGCGCACACACGCACACACGCACACAGGCACACAGGCACGCAGACACACCGACACACACGCGCTCTCGTACATACACATACACGGGTCCATGGACATACATGTGCATACATTATCACCCCTACCTATCGATAGTGTAGCCCCCTACTCCGTGCCATCCGTTGACGCGGCGGTCATGGGTAGTGGTGCTGCCAAAGCTTCCACCCGGAAGCACCACCACCATCATGAGCATCACCACGAGGAGCCCAAGCGGGAATAAGTACCAAGGAGGGGTTTTGGATGCTTTGGGGGCTTCAGATATGGGATCGGTTTCGGGCTGTAGAAGCTTCAGGGAATCACTGGAAACTTTTACAGTCCCAGGTTGCCTCCGTGGTTCTAAAGTGCACGAGCCCTAGAGCCTAAGCAGCTGCAACCCAGCCTCAATTCCACAATGTGGAGCCCGACTGATTCCCAAGCATTTCAGGTTTGGGGCTCAGGATTTGGGGGGCCTGGCGCCTGAGTGCAAGTCTTCATGAGCTGTTTCAGACATACCGTGACATACCCCAAGTACTTTGCGACTTCCCCCTTTTGCATATACTCCGGTTGCTCTGGTGCCCCACTACAATTTGAGCATAGACAGTACCTTTTCAGCTTATTCATATACAGGCCTTCAAGCGTACTGGCAAAATGCCGAGACCGTTGCATCGTTTTTCTCCTCGCATGCGGCTTTAGAACGCCCCCACGCCCCCAACCAAGGTATGTGGTTGTGGTGGGTGGGGGGTTTAGGATTTAGGGACTTGAATTAACTGCTTTCAGGGTTTTAGGGTGTCAGGGTGTTAGGGTTTTCAAGGTTTCGTGGGTCTTGCACAGGGTTTTAAGAGGTTCTAAGGGTTTGTTCCGATTGAGGTTTTTAAGGCTGAGGTTTTAGAGTTTTTGGGTTTAGGGGTCGCGGTTTTAGGGTTTAATGTTTCGGGTTTAGGCTTTGTGCGAGGGTTTTGGGTTCGGGGTGGGGGGGTGGGGGCGGATTCCATGGGGGGGCAGCGGGCGTGGGCGGGGGGGGGGACAATGCTGACACGGCGAACCATATATATCTTAGCCTGAGACCTTGACGCCCAAACCCTACACCATCAACCCTAAACGACGCTAAACCCTAAACCCTAAACCCTAAACCCTAAACCCTAAACCCTAAACCCTAAACCCTAAACCTTTAACCCTGAACCCTGAACCTTGAATCCTGAACCCTAAACCCCAAACCCCAAACCCCAAACCCTAAACCCTAAACCCTAACCCTCCATCTTCAGGAGAGCCCCTTGGAAGCCGCCAAGCACGGGGACCGAGACGCGCAGGTTGCGGTCCTTGGGATTCACCACCTCGACTCTCACATCCACGTTTACCCTAAACCCTAAGCCCAAACCCTAAGCCCTAAAACCCTATAAGTTCTGGACCCCAAATCCTAAACCCTAAACCGCCTGGACCCTAAACCCGAATCGCCGATGTAGGTTCAGGAGGGGATCAGAATGTTTTTAGGGTGTTGGGCTTGCTATTTCGGGTTCTTGGTTTTCCTGCTGATCGGTTTCATTAGGATTTTTAGTAATTTAGGTTTTAGGGGTGTAGGACTCCCCCAAAGCGATGCTCGGGCTAAAGCCCCGGTCTAACGGCCTGTCGCAGAGAGGGGCGGCTGCCAAAATCCCTCGAAGGCGTGCTCAACTTCTATGTACGATCTGCGTGCACTTTCTGCTATTTTCTGTTCTTTCCTTTGGTTCTTGCTGTTGTGCGCACAAGGTCTTGATCTTAGCCCGGCTGCCAAAATCCCTCGAAGGCGTGCTCAACTTCTATGTGCGATCTGATTGCACTTTCTGATTGTATTGTTTATTTAGAATTTGGTTCTTGTTTGATTTTGTTTTTTGTACGCGCATATGGTCTTGATCTTAGTAGTTCCATTGTCTCTGAATTCTGGGCATTGAGCATCGCTTTGGGGGAGTCTCTGCGAGGCGCAAAAAGATGCCCCCTAAACGCCACAAGCTTTCGAACAGGACTTCGGCTGGGGTGGCAGATCTCCACCTACATAGTGGTGATGCGGTACGTTGGCTACTCTCGCCCTTGAAGCCACCTTCTACCCCAGAAACCCTAAACTTACCCTAAATCTCAGCAGTATACAGGGCCTTCAAGCAACAGAGGTGGTGGCCTGCCTCCTGTTCTTCAATATAAAGGGGGTGCAACAACCTGGAGCTTCAACCTTGGGGCCTTACAGGCGAAGCCCGAAGTCCTGAATTGCCAGCAGCCCCCGAAGCTGCCTTCGGGGTTTAGGGTTTCGGGGTTTAGGGGTTTAGGGGTTTAGGGGTGTAGGGTTTAGGGTTTTGGGGGGGTTAGGGGTTTAGGGGTTTAGGGGTGTAGGGGTTTAGGGGTTTAGGGGTTTAGGGGTTTAGGGGTTTAGGGGTTTAGGGGTTTAGGGGTTTAGGGGTTTAGGGTGTACGGGGCCAGGCGTGGCTCTTCGACTTGATGGGCCAGTACTGCGAAGCGGGCGACGTTGAGGGCGCCCGGGCGCCGAGATTCCCCTGGGACCTCTGTTCTCCATGAGGGTCGTGCTGCTTGAAGCCCTGCATCCACAACCCTAAGCCCTGAACCCTACACCCTTTCAACCCGTTCAGGGACAGCCGAAGCCCTGAAACCCCCAAAAACCCCTAAGCCTGAACGCTCCTAAACCCCCTTCAACCTGAAGCCCGAAGCTCCGGAATCAGCAAGGCTGGGCTTCGAAACCCCCAAAGCCTCTGAAACCCCACAAAACCCTAGGCTGCCAGAAGCCCCAGGACCTTAAAACCCGAAACCCCCACCTAAACCCTAAACCCTAAACCCTAAACCCTAAACCCTAAACCCTAAACCCTAAACCCTAAACCCTAAACCCTAAACCCTAAACCCTAAACCCTAAACCCTAACCCCCAACCCTCAACCCTCAACCCTCAACCCTCAACCCTCAACCCTCAACCCTCAAACCTCAACCCTCAACCCTCAACCCCTAACCCTAAACCCTAAACCCGAATTAAACCCTAAAACCCCCCCAAAAACCCAAAAAACCCTAAACACCCTAAAGCCCTGAACCCCAGACTCTCGGGAGGTCGAGAAAATAGTGGACAAGTGGAGCGACTGCCGGCGACTCCGCGGCGCGAGCGAGGCGTCGGTAGTGGCGGCGAGGCGCATTTTGGGTGGGTTGTGTAGGGTTTTCGGGTTTAGGGTTTTTTGGGTTAGGGTTTAGGGTTTCGGGTTTCGGGTTTAGGGTTTAGGGTTTAGGGTGTAGGGTGTAGGGTTTCGGGTTTTGGGGTTTAGGGTTGAGGGAGGTTCACGGGTACTTATTGGGGACGTATGGGGGCGTAAAAGTGCTGTTGTACTTGGGGGTATAAGGGCCTGGAACCTCCAAGTAGGGTTTCCCTTTTTTTGGGGTTTTAGGCTGGGTTTAGGGGTTTACGGGGTTTAGGGTGTTTGGGTGCTTGAGGGTT